CGTAAAATGCTAAACATCCACGGTATTATGTATTTTCAAATACATGAACTAGTAAATTTTGTTTATTGTAATCTTAATACAATAAAATTTAGCTGCTCTCCGATTCTAGAAAATAAATGCTTGTTAATTTTTCGAGAGGAAAATCATTATAGAAACCAAACGTATAGAAACCGCTAGGTATTTTGCGGGAGAATATTTTTTATATTTTTAAATAATCAGTGTAAAGTAGATATAATTTTAATAAAATCCTTTTATTTAAATGGTAACACGGAATTTTATGGAATTATATTAGCATTACTGGAGAACTTTTTTATATTTTTAAGAAATTATTTTGTTTTGTAAAACAAACTGTGATATCATTTTCATAAAATAGTTTTTTTTTTAAATAGTAACACGGAATTTTATGTAATCATATAAGCATTCATTTATGTTGTCAGTACATAATAAAATCTGGAAGGGGGACCTTAAACACAATAGAGAGCAGTACACATGTACATATTAATCTATCTAGTTGTATAGTCAAGGGTGTTAACAAATTAAAATAATAATATTAATAATGATAAGCTACTAAAAAATATAAAAATATTTTCCCGCAAAATACGCCTTGTTGCTATTACCTAGCGGTTTCTATAATGTTTGACTTCATTTTTAGGTATAAAGATTAAAGAATCTAGAATTCATTGATTTTAATCATTCGCCATTTTTTTAAGGTTTTGCTTCTGATGTGAGATTCCTTTAAGTTTATAAGCATAATTTATGTAAAAATACATATATTTATTATATTGTATATAATATAAATTTTTTGCTTTTTATTTGAACAAAAAAGGTGGTATGAGACATAATTAAAATACTTTATTAAAAAGTCGCTATTATGTTTCCCATGTCTATAGTCTTACCTTACAGGGAGTGACCGGCAATGTATGGTGGTTGAACTGAGTATGCAGTGTTGTGGACAAATTTTTAGGATTATTTGAGACATATGAAACGTTTCCACGGTGTATAATTACTGAGTTTGAGTGCAATGTCGACGTTCAAAATCATGAATTTTGGTTTGGGTACGTTTTCAGAAACGTTTAAATAAAGTAAAAATTATACAGTAAACTAATTAGATGTTTAGGAACATTTTTCTCAAAAGAAATTTGTTAATAAATCAATGTTAGAATAAATTTTTTTCACTTTCATCATTATATTGAATTTCTTATTCTTTATGAATTTGTTCGCAGATTTTTTACAAATTCTTCAAAAAATTTCAATAAAAATTTCAGAAAATCTGCAGAAAATCTTTGGCAATAATGAGAGATTATAGAAACTAATTATTAAATAAGATTACTCATATTCGATGAAAATGGTTAATTTTAACTTTCTGAACCTGTTCTTAAACAACTAATAAGTTTACTGTAGAATTTTTTTTTTATTTTACACTTTTTGTCGTCGTTATTTATTGATTAAAAAACAATTCTGAAAACGTACCAACCCAGTTTATGATTTTGAACGTCGACTTTGCGCTCAAACTCAGTAAATATACGTCCTAGAAACGTTTTATATGTCTCAAATGAATCCTAAAAAATTTGTCCACAATATTACATGTTCAGGTCAACCACCATACATCCCCAATCACTGCCTTTACCTTGCTACGTGAAGATGCTAAACCATCTGATATATGTAATATATATATTACACTTCAAGGGGATGTAAGTTTAATTTTAAGTGATCACCCATGTAAAGAAATATGCAATGCCCGATTTACATCGGTAGCCTTGAAACCTTAGCCAGATGAAAAATGGGAAAGATAACGTCGCCGATGGTGACTTGTAAAGCGGTGATTTCTCCATTGTTTCCTATGGGCAAGAAATGCGCAAGTAACTTTTTCAGAGAAACTACAAATAAAATAAATAGTTAAAATAAAAAAATTACCTGAAACACTGAATTCTTTTTAAACAAAGATCTACAAGCTTTCAAAAAAGAATTAAATAGGAGTTTGTCAATTATTCCTGTTAAGCTGAAGCTAGATGATTCTAGAAACGTATATGACAAGACACCAAAAAAGTATAAGTAAATTGTGTCTAAATTAGTTGTGAACATGTTCTCTTTGTGTACATCGTAAAACAAAACAAAAATATTTCGCCGATTTTTACAAAAAATTTCACGGATTTTCAAAATTTTTAAAAATTTAATGACGATTGAATTTTGATAGAGACAAATATTTGAAATTTTATTTTTTCATAAACCTTCCCTGGGGTCCCTAGATGTCCCACAAAAAATTTGGGCCCGATCGGTTCAGCCGTTTTGACGTTTATTGGATACAAACAAACAAACAAACAAACAGACAAACAGACAGACAGACAGACAAGCCAAATTTATATATAGAAGAAATACAAAATGAGCAGATTTCATAATATTTTTTCGCACATTTTCAAAATTTTAAAAAATTTAATGACGATCGAATTTTGATGGAGACAAATATTTGAAATTTTGATGATTCATAAACCTTCCCTGGAGTCCCTAGATGTCCCACAAAAAATTTGGGCCCGATCGGTTCAGCCGTTTTGACGTTTATTGGATACAAACAAACAAACAAACAAACAAACAGACAGACAGACAGACAAGCCAAATTTATATTTACTAGAAATTCAAGGCGCTTCGCGCCCTTCTTTCTAGCCTTAGAGGGCGCTTCGCGCCCATCTCCTAAAAAAATTGTGAACATGTTCTCTTTGTGTACATCGTAAAACAAAACAAAAATAATTCGCGGATTTTCAAAATTTTTAAAAATTTAATGACGATCGAATTTTGATAGAGACAAATATTTGAAATTTTATTTTTTCATAAACCTTCCCTGGGGTCCCTAGATGTCCCACAAAAAATTTGGGCCCGATCGGTTCAGCCGTTTTGACGTTTATTGGATACAAACAAACAAACAAACAAACAGACAGACAGACAAGCCAAATTTATATATAGAAGCTATGTTTAGTTCTTCTCATGTTTTCTTCAGTTCTCGTCAATATGATATATTGCTCAGTGAAATAAAATTCACTCCTGAGTGGTTTAATAATTATGAAATCCATTAAAACACCAAACCACCCCGCTTATCATTGACGTACACTTTGGCCCTAGAAGTATGAGTTCTTGGTGATTTTGCGTACATAAGCTATCTATGTTTATTTATTTATCTATGATTATAACGACTAAAAATTATTACTAATCCATTGTTGAAAGCTGAAAGCTGTAATATAACGTTAAAAGCGAACAAATATTAAGTTTTAATAATTTAGAAAATAATCTTTTTTTTGAATTTAGGGTTGCAGATATGAGTGCTAAAGATATAGTTGACTCGCAGTTACAAGTCCGGCGTATTTGAATACGAATTCTGGGAATCTTCTGGGATTTTGTTTTGAAAAACAAATTAATCTGATCCAATTTCTAATAATTTTTAGAATTGCGCAGATATATATATATATATATATATATATTTAATATTTATATAGCCTGTTAGAAAAAAAGTTAAAGGTACTGTAAAGGAAAAATGAAAGCGGGTAAAGGTTGTAACCTGATAATCGTAGGAGCTGATTAAGACCTATAAGAGTTCTATCTGATGTTCTTGTCTCGAGAAATTGTAAAAATTGTACCAAAACTTTTGTAAACAGATCATATTCAACAAATACGCAACCGATCTCAAAACGACGATATCCCAGAGGAGTCTGAGAAACACAGGATTGCTCGTATTTTATTAGAATTTAATAATTTTTAAATGTTAATAGATACAATTGATAATATTATTTATTTGTCCGGACCATGTCATCAGCACTCCAACCAATGGCAGTGCAGTATTATTGTCACGTGTCTTCGTCTGTATCACGTGACCAGTGTACTGCACTGTCATTGGAGGGAGTTCTTGTCACGTAATCTGGACGTAAATCTTACATATATACGTTTTGGTATAATTCTGACACAGTTTTATGTCAATTCTCGAGACAGGAACATCAGATAGATGTCTTATAGGTATTGGTCGACTCCTGAGATTCTCAGGTTTCAGCCTATAACCCCTTTCATTAATTTCCTTTACAGTCCCTTTAAGAAAGAAAATTATTAAGTTAGTTAGGTCCGGGTTATGCAAAGTTAGAGTCCATTAGAAAACAACTGAAATCATAATATTCTTATATTTGAAATCAAATCATAAAGCATCGATCCTATCTTTAATTTTACCGCTTTTTCTTGTAACATGCGTGTTAGCAAAGAAGTTGAGTATGGAATTTGAGCTGCGCCACTGAACTACCTTCTGTCGGTTCAAACTTGAACCACAGATTTAAAGTTAAAGATTCAGGAAGGATTTGAATCGGTGATTCAAATATGAGCCAGCAGTTCAAGTTAATTAGGTTCGGTCCCAGGTTGCTAAGATTTTAGGATTAGAAAATTTGAATTTCTGGCAAAATTAGAAAATTGTGACTGGAACTTAATTCCTTTCAGGCTATCCAGATTTAGAATGATAAGATTGTTATTTTAAAAATATCAAATTGAGAACAATCTCATATGGTGTTGATAATCGTTTTTTACTATATGTAATCTGAGGTGTTTCCCAAACTATAAAACGGTTAAAGTTTTTTAGTTTTTTATTTTTCAATAAATTTTTCTAAAAAGAAGAAAAAATGGAAAAACTAACCCCCCAAAAAAACTTTTAATATTTTGTCTTTGGTTCGTTTTTTTGATTTTTTTTCAGGGGCAAAATTTGGCATACAAATTAGCACAGCAAAGGTTTAAATTAGGATAAGCAATAAAAAAACATTTGCTTTTACTATGGCACATTCTTACACTAAGAGAAAAATATGCAAATAACGAACCAGACACGAACAAAAAACGAACCAGAAACGAACCAGAAAAGAAAAAAAACAAACAAAAACTGTTCCATAAATTGTTAAATGTTTTTTAATAAACTTTCGTTATCTCTGCTTCCGGTTAGTGCAATTTGAAGTATAAAATTAAACAACTTGTGAATATTTATTAGTATACTTTTGTCTACTGAATAGATATGAGTAGGTTTTTAAAACATAATTAGAATGTAATTATGGGAAGGGGGGGGGGGGTAGAAAAAAATTCGTCCTGGACCTTTAAAGTTCAAACAATACTATTTAATATATCTAACAGTCAAAATTTGAAATACCTCATTTTTAAACCTTCAGCTTGCATGGATATAAAGATTAGAAAATTAGAGACTTAATGTTCCATTTCCTTTTGATCCAAAACCTTTTTTTCATTAAATTGTTTTTGTAAACAGAATATCCTTTTGTGAACGATTCAACCATTTTATCATATATTTTAATGTCCATAGAAACACCACACCACAAACAAACGCGATTGCTCCACTCACGTGGATTTAACGTTCTGTCAATATTCCAGAATGCTGTGACTTTCGAATTTGACCCATTAAACATAATTTGTTAGCCTTTTCAATGAATACTTTTTTGCTGGCATATGCATTTTGAATGAAAATGTATAACATAAACAAATTCGTAAAGTAGATGATTATTGAATAAAAGACCAAAACACGTTTGATTTCAAATAGAAGAAACCGAATGCTGCCCACTCTGGTTAGTCCGGTGTGCTCTAGATATGTTTATAACATTCAAAGGGAAAATTATAGTTAGATATATCGCACACTCTGCTAAGGAACATGTTTTGCAATATATCAACCAGAAGATGCCCATTTTGTCTATTCTTGAGATTTTACCCGTGGAAAATATTGTTAGTTTTTTTTTACCAGGGACTATCTTTGTAATGATTTTCCAGTTAAAGATGGTCATTGGTAATGCCCGATTCACATCGGTATCTTAATCTAATTATGATGTTGACGACATCATCGCTTTTCTAGTTTAACATGTGTTTAAGTCTGACAATTTCCTCCATTGTCTATGAAGCACTACTGCACTAGACCCTAGTAGCAATGAAGAAGATATCTTTCTTGTATCTGCTTCATAAATGAATCTCTTACAAACATAAGCTGTAATTTAAAATGATTAATTTTTTTGAAAAAAAGGATATCTTTTAATTTTTTCTCCAGATTAAAGGTTTAAAGGCTTTTATATTGGATTGAAACTCTTTAAAAAAGGGTCACTTGAAATTTATGCACAGAGTCCCTACAGATGAAAAATATTTAAGATCTTGTGAAAAGTGGGAGTGTAGTATCTGTCCTAGTTGGTTCAGTTCTCCTGGTTCCTCTTCTTTTGCTCGCATATTCTCAGTGTATATGGATTATACAGGTGGAGTCCTTAAACATGATAACCTTCAAATACAGGAATATTCTTAAACATGATTACCACCAAATACAGGAGTTTACTTAAACATGATAACCTTCAAATACATGATAACCCCAAATACAGGAGTATACTTAAAAATGATAACCTCCCAATGCAGGAGTATACTTAAACATGATAACCTCCAAATACAGGAGTATACTTAAACTTGATAACCTCCCAATACAGAGTATACTTAAACATGATAACCTCCAAATGCAGGAGTATACTTAAACGTGATAACCACCAAATACAGGAGTATACTTAAACATGATAACCTCCAAATACAGGAGTATACTTAAACATGATAACCACCAAATACAGGAGTATACTTAAACATGATAACCACCAAATACAAGAGTATACTTAAACATGACAACCACCAAATACAGGAGTATACTTAAACATGATAACCACCAAATACAAGAGTATACTTAAACATGACAACCACCAAATACAGGAGTATACTTAATCATGATAACCACCAAATATAGGAGTATACTTAAACAAGATAGCCTCCAAATACAGGAATGTACTTAAACATGATATCCCAAATACAGAAATGTACTTAAAAATTGAGTACAGCTGTATTTATATCATTGAGCCCGAAACTTCACATAATGAAACCCAGTATTGGAAACCCTATTTCATGAATGGGGTCAGGCAGTTTTGTAGATACCAATATTTTTTTTATAAAATATTATTTCATGTGGTTTCTTTACATTCTCTTTTTGTTTTCTGATTTTTTAAATGAAAATCTAAGCAATTAATCTTTTGTTCTGTTAGTTTAAAAGAGCGACAAGCAGTTTGATCAGATTGTGATTAAATGGCGCTTCGCGGAATTCGCGCCCATTCGCTTTTAACTGTTACTTTTCACGTCGCCATATTTCATCGTTCTCTTATGCGAATTTTTCTTTTTAAATTTGTGCATTTTTCAAATAATAAATGTTGAATTTTTTGAAAGCAACATCTTAAAATTTGTACCATAAACCTTCCCTCGGGTCATGTACGTTATCCGAAAAATAGGCCCGATTGGTTCAGTCGTTGTGAATATTTAATGCATAATAATAAAAATATATATATTTTGAAGAAAATGATAATAAAAGAAGATGGTCTATCCAATCCATAACTCTAATGCACTTCATGAAAGTTTAAGACAGATGTTGAAAGAAAGGAAAATTGTTGAAAAAAAAATGCAATCACTAATGAAACACATACAATCGATAGATCGTTTAAAAGAAAATTTCCGTACTTTCACGGTATATTTATTTGATATGTTAACACGCTATCATAATCTTCTAAAATTGATTTGATATTCCATATTCTAAAAAATTTGATTTTTGCTTGAAAGTGTGAAAGTATATTATTTCTGATGAATATCAAACCGATCTTCTCTTTTTAAAACTTTCTGCTCACAAACAAAGTTATATTACATAAATATTTACACACCTGTAATTGAATCACCCCCCCCCCCTGTAAAAGATACACCAGTTGCGCCTCTGTTTATGAAATTTTTAAAATTTAGATTATTCGTTTGATTCAACAGCATTGGGTGATATCTTCGTTCCTCTGTTTATCTATCTATCTGGTTCATTGGCTGTTCTTGGTGCCACTGGATTTAAATAAAAAGGTGAGGAGTTAAGACCACCCCCCTTTGAGTTTATAGTTTAAAATATCAAATTACATTGGGTTGCAAAGAGAAAGGGATTAGAAAATCAGAGTTTTTGGCAAAAAATCAGTTTTTTTCTAAATACAGCCGGAATTTAAAAGTTTTAAAGATATTCGAGGATAAAAACTATATTTACTTTTGAGTTAAACAAAGGAATACTGTTGTTTCACAAACACTAAAAAAGGAACTGAGTTCTTGCAACAAACTCTCGTTTTTAATTCTCTATATCTTTGCAACCCGATGTTGTAGACCTAAGATATTTCCACATTCTTTTTCTAAATTGTTTAGAATTCGATAAAAACATTTTCATAATTTCAATAAATGATTGCACATATTTGCTTTGTAATAACATCAAATGCACTTAAGTATTGCAATACAGAGTTTTCTGGTTATCTCTATTTTTAGACTATAAAGTTGCTTAGGGTATAGTTACTCCTGCATGCCGTGCTTGGTTGTAAATTACGATTTTAGCTATTTTATTATTCCTGGGGTTCTCCCGAGTTCCCCAATCAAAATTTGAGACACCTTGGTCATGGTCATGGGACTTATTAGTTATAATCGGACATACAAACAAACAAACAGAGAAACAGACTTTATATATATATATATATATAGTAGGTCGGGAACCCAGCGCTGCCAAGGTTACTAAAAGTTACTCCCACCATTAACCCGCACTTGAGCGATTTTACCGGGAAACTAAATTTTCGCTTTAAAGTCGACCCACCCAACTTAGAATCTTAAAACCAAGCTAAGAAAATTCCCGTGGTTTTTCTTCAAGTTCCCAATCAAAATTTGAGACAAATCGGTCCAGGGGATTCCGAGTTATGATCGGACATACTAGAAAACAAACAACAGAGAAACAGTCTTTATCTATATATATAAAGTTGTAATCTCTGTTTGTCTGTCTGTCGGTCTGTTTGTTTATTTGTCCGATCATAACTCGGGAACCCCTGGAACGATTTGCCTCAAATTTTTATTGGGGAAATCGGGGGAGGCCCACGGGAATGTTCTAAGCTTGGTTTCAAGATTCTAAGTTGAATTATAACGAAAATTTAGTTTCCCGGTAAAATAGTCTAAGTGGTAAACGGGGGGAGTAACTTTTAGTAACCAGGGTTGCGCTGGGTTCCCATGCTAGTTTATATATAGATTTATATCCCAGGTAGAAGATGTTGGATGGAAATATTTACCCAGTGGTAAACTGAAAGCTCAAGAAGTAAACAGAATTCGGAAATACAGAGAGATTGGTGAGTAAACAGAATTCGGAAATACAGAGAGATTGATGAGTAAACAGAATAAGGAAAAATAGAGAGATTGGTGAGTAAACATAATTCGGAAATACAGAGAGATTGGTGAGTAAACAGAATTCGGAAAAATATAGAGATTGGTGAGTAAACAGATTCGGAAAATTAGAGAGATGGGGAGTAAACAGAATTCGGAAATATAGAGAGATTGGGGAGTAAACAGAATTCGGAAATACAGAGAAATTGGTGAGTAAACAGAATTTGGAAATGCAAAGAGATTGGTGAGTAAACAGAATACGAAAATATAGAGAGAGATTGGTGAATAAAAACAGAATTCGGAAATACAAAGAGATTGGTGAGTAAAAAACCCATAGGGGAAGTTTACTATAATTAGGAAATATAATTCATTAATTTCGAAACAATGAATTAAATAGTGATTAATTAGTAGAATTCAAATTTTGATATAATTGAAGGATGTTTAATATTATTATTATTTATTAAGGTGATACACCCCCCTCCTATCCTAATGGCTGGTTTGGTATAGTTGTAAGAATGTTTAATATTATTATTATTTATTAAGGTGATACACCCCCCTCCTATCCTAATGGCTGGTTTGGTATAGTTGAATCAAGAAATCTTAACAGGGGACAAGTTCTTCACGTCGTAGCTCTTGGTAAATTTATCCATTATTTCAAAATAAAATTACCCTTAAACCATATTCAATCATCCAAAACCACGCTTCCGGTGCGTACTGCAGTGATCTGCATGCCAGTACACAGCAGGGGTCCTGCTTAAAAGTTAGTGAGTCTTAACTTTGTTGTTCCCCCGTTCCATGAAAATTTTAAAAAATTCATATTTTAAATACTAGCCTTTTAGCGCGCTTCGCGCCCATCTTCCATTTTAATTGTGAACATGTTCTCTTTGGGTACACTGTAAAACAAAACAAAAAAAAGTTCGCGGATTTTAACAAAATTTTTTGTGGATTTTCAGAATTTTCAAAAATTTAATGAAAATCGAATTTTGATGGAGACAAATATTTGAAATTTTGATCATTCATAAACCTTCCCTGGGGCCACACGAGGTCCCACACAAAATTTGGGCCTGATCGGTTCAGCCGTTTTGACGCTTATTGGATACAGACAGACAGACAAGCTAAATTTATCTATAGATTTAAAAATGAAAGTTTTCAATGCTTTTTTTGACAGATTTTGAATTAGAAAGCAAAATATAAAGGAAAAGACATCGATATAAACTGAACGCACTTTTTTACTTAGTTTCACGTTATATCACAAAATATCACCAAAAATGTTACATTTTTTTTGTGATAACAAAATTTCCTATAAAATTTGAAGTAACGAAAAAAGTTTAGCATTTTTGTGGAATGTTTAGGCTGTTCAATACTATTTACAAAAAAAAATTTCCAACAATTATTGGCATAAATTCCAAATAATAATATATTTTGCTATAAAGGATGTAATTTTGCTGTGTATCGTGGTATGAGCGGTAAAGCCTATATATCTGATGCTTATTGTCCTCATCTGGGCGCTAATCTAGCAGTTGGGGGACGTGTTCGGTAATTCATCTTTATTCTATTTAAAGAGTTGTACGAACGGATAACCCTTTAAAACCAGAGTAACAATAAAGATAATAGCGTCATATTTCTATCTGGAAAAGTGCTAAATTATAATTATTTCCATTGTTATCTGTTCCATAAATCCGCAAAAACCAAAAATGGAGGTTTAAAGGACACCTCTATAGAGGTTTAAAGGACACCTCTATAGAGGTTTAAAGGACACCTCTGTAGAGGTTTAAAGGACACCTCTATAGAGGTTTAAAGGACACCTCAATAGAGGTTTAAAGGACACCTCTGTAGAGGTTTAAAGGACACCTCTATAGAGGTTTAAAGGACACCTCTATAGAGGTTTAAAGGACACCTCAATAGAGGTTTAAAGGACACCTCTATACCTCTATAGAGGTTTAAAGAACGCCCCAATAGAGGTATATACAACACCCCAATAGAGGTTTAAAGGGTTCCGTTGGTTCAAGGGGTACCGTTGTGATTCGGGTAGGCCCCTTTGTTTTAAATCGAAGGTTTCTTGAAATTACGACAATCATATACTTTTCTATTATAAAGCGGATGTTTTTAAATTTGTAAAAAAACACGAAAATAATGAAAAATTAAATTAATGATTCGTCTTTTTAGTGAGGATTGCATTCAGTGCCCTTATCATAATTGGACTTTTAAGGTAAAACAATGGAGAAGCTTTTACCTTAGAATTTAATTCAATTAAATTCTTTCTTAAAGATGTCCGCGATAGCTTTATGATCTTCAAAATAAAAGCCTGAAATGTCATGTAATTTTTAAGGATGGAACTGAGCAAGCTATGATTTTTCAATTCCTATATCTTTGCAACCCAATGTTTATATACACAAAGATTTGCACCATCAGGTTGCAAAGAAATAGATTTAAAAAATTGCATTTGTATATAGAAATGCTCTAACACTGAAATGTCCTCTTTACAAAATGTCCTATCTATGAAATGTCCTATATCCGAAATATTCTATCTATGAAATGTCCTGCTTGTGAAATGTCCTGTCTATGAAATGTCCTGTCTATGAAATGTCCTGTCTATTCTATGAAATGTCCTGTCTATGAAATGTCCTGTCTATGAAATGCCCTGTCTTAAAAATGTACCAACATATTTTTGCATGTTGTACTTTAGGGTGAGACTGGGGAATGTACTAGTATATCCTACTCTAAAGGAAGTATACCTAAAAACTCTAAGCTAAAGACCTATAAAACTGTTGAGAGAAACGGATTCATCTACGTCTGGTTTCATGCAGATCAAGTAAGAATAGTTTTTTTATTTCCAAAAAGTTGAATGTTTCTATCACGGTAAACTCCGGTTAATGTTTCTATCACGGTAAACTCCGGTTAATTTCTAAAACCAGTCCGAATTTTAAGCAGTTAGAGCAAGCTATACAGTACACAATGACACGTACATAGAAAGTCACTAAAAAATTACTTAGACAGTCCCTTTAAGTACAGAGCATTTGGTCCTCAAAGAAATATTCCGTGCAATGCATGCAACCACGAATTCAGGCCTGAATATTGGAAGATTTGTTTCCCTTGGAGCTGAACAATGCTCCCGCTAGACAATGGACAAAAAAATCACATGACCATCGGCTGAAACCTCAGAAACTGAGTTTTTGCAACAAAAAATGTCTAATCCCTATTTTTTTCAACCTGTAAACCTTTGATTTTTCAAACCTAGATTTTTAATTTTAGATTTTACAGAATTCACAGTTTGAAATATCAAACGACCAAGACATAGGGTGGCAAAAAATAAGGATTAGAAAATTTGAGTTTTTGGCAAAAACGCATATTTTATCAAACCTTTATAAAGCTAGCAACCTATATGACAAAAAATCAATAATCCATTTTTTTCAACTATATAAAGATTAAAGAATTGTGTTGAAGGAGTTACCTGATTGGACCCCTCCTGAAGAAGCAAAGGTCTCTGAGTATGCATACAGGGGGAGGACAGAGTACTATGTAAACTGTAATGCCCAGGTAAAAAACTTCTTTGGCAGTTAAAGCAAAAACAGTATGCGCTACACTCTTATAGTTGGCCTTACACATAAACGTGAATTGTGCAATCCGAAATCTATTCATCAAAGCCTTGACTTTACAGTGTCGTGACACCTTCAACTCACGTATACTTTTTTGTAGCCCTAGGCATATACATTTTCAAACTGGTATGCAGTTTTTTCTATCTTAAGTTTAAAAGGAGTAAATAGCAAAATCCAGTTATTCCTCCAGGATACTATTATCATGCGGGATATTTAATAAAGATTATGTTAATCTGCAGATTAATAAAAGATCGAGATCAAGCTTTGATCTCGATTTCAACAATGCAAGAGTTCCTAATTCTGCCCTCATTTTTGTACTTTGAAATCTGACATATTTTCTGATCTGTTTTTCCTCATTGGAATTTGAGACCAATGTCGAAATAAATTTGTTAATCAAACTAAACTTTTTTAAATATTCAAATTTTGTTTTTATATTATATGTTTACTATTAAGGATATGTCTGAAAACCCTGCTGACAATGGGCATCTCAATTTTGTTCACGACACAGGTATTATTGTGAACATTTTCGAACGATCTTGTTAAAAATAATTGTCCTTTAAAGAAATTATAATTCCATTTAAAGCGGGGTGGGGTACCCTTAAACCCTTTTGACTGATCAAGGATGACTGCAGACGTATCTTTAATCTACAATCTTATAATCGTTGAATACTTTGTTTGCAAGCTGTCTTATATTTAAGGAATGTTGATATTTAGTATTTACTTTCTGGCAAAATATGAATTTTCATATTCAATTTTTTTAACCGTGTAGGACAAAATAATATTCTAGATTTTACATAATCCGCGTTGAGTTCACACAGCTAAGCTAATTTACACAACAATTTAACGGGTTTTACGCAGCATTTAAGAGATATATGCATTGGGCCGATCTATATCTTTGATAATCAGCCATAGGTTTAAAGGGTGCAGTTGTAAATTGGGGATGTCTCTCTTTAAATGGAAGGTCACTTGAAATTATGCTGACAATACCTTTAAACAAGTAGAGAGGCTAAACTTAAAACGCAAGGTTCCATTCAACTTGATAAAGCTTAGTTTTTTTTTAAATTTAAACATTATATTTGGAAGAAAATTATAAAATCTTTTTTCAGCTGTTTTTGCTGGAGGCGAACCCTCTCAAATTATTGAGGACTGGCTAGCAGGGATATATGGATAACAATTCAATTTACAAAATCAAACGTGCCTGTATTTTGTCTAAGTTAAAACAGAGTTTAAAAAAATACGTTAACAAGCGCAAACAAAATTATTAACTTTGATCAAACTGAATTTTCGCTATTTAGTTAATTGTTTAAAACGAACTGTTCAATAATGAGCATGTCCGTTTTGTTTATTTTGCTAATTTTAAATGTATTAGTTAATCCTGCAATACAACATAATGGCAGTTTTAACATAAGAAAGGCCGCTAGATGGCTCTGTTCGGGAAAGGAAAGCAGACCTACTACATAATGTTAACCAGTTTTTTTATCTATATATTGTGAATGGTAGGAGTAGCTAAGCATGAGTTAGCAGCAGCTTGGAGACAAGGCAAGCTGAAGCATACAGCAGTATCTACTATAGTTGTCAATATGGACCTCTTTAAAGGATCAGGAATGCTCAAATCTCTCACTAAAGTTGTTCTCATTCTTAAACAAATAGGTAATTAGAAATAATGCAATGGAGATTTGAAAATATTTCAAGCTGTAAAATTAGAGGAGGTAGGGAGGATTGTATAAATATATATATAGCCTTGGGTGTTGGGGGCGTTGGGGGTCAGAGTTTCAGTGTCAATAGATATTTTAAATAAAATTTTGAGACTAATTGGCACAAGTACGTTTAAAAATTGTAAACTAAGTTTCTTCCTTGTATTCTAATACCAGCAATTTTTATAAATTCCATTTTTAGATAACATTACCTTACCTCAAACTAAAGTACTGCCACAAAATAGAAATTTTCTTATTATTACATCTTTGCAACCCGTTGATGTAAACAAAAAACCCTAATTTTAATCCATTATCAACTATTTTCTATTTACAGGACCGTCGTGTGTACATATCGACATAGAGACAGCCTTCGGCAAGGGAATTATGATAATCCAAAACATTCCTGTAGAACCAATGCTTCAAAAGGTCGGACAAAGGCCCTTTAAATATTTAGTATTTTTTTTAATGAATATTCAACTAATTGCTTTTTTAATTTTACTATTTTTAAACTGGAGAGACATGAGTGATGTTAATTATATTCTAATGAAATAGTAATTTAATCAAACTGAAATTAATTATCGATGGTATTTTTTTCTGAAAATTACTTCTCCTCCTTTACAATACACTAAATTACAAGGTGTCTCAAAAAAACCGTGAATAAGAGTCTACAGACTTGTTAGTAATCAGATTTATAAGATTGAGACCATTTTTAAAATCTACGTACAATTTCCGATTCAATAAGCCAAATTTTAAGTAACTTTGGTACAAATACAAATAATCTCCGTTTGCACAATTTTGTATAAGGGTCTATAGACTTGCTTGTAATCGGATTTTCAAGATTAAGACCTTTGTAATATCTACGTACTATATTTCTCTCTTGATTTTGACTTCAAGTTCGTAAAGTGAATACAGGAGCCTATAAAATTGTTATTTTTAGATCTAAAAGCCTCAAGGATCGGAAATTGTACGTAAATATTAAAAAAGGTCTTCATCTTGAAAATCCGATTACTAACAAGTCTGTAGACCCTTATACAAAATTGTGCAAACGGAGATTATTTTTAATTTTACAAAATTTACTTACTCCAGGTAGAAACTTTAAGACTCAAGGAGCCTATACAATTGTCATTTTAAAACCTACAATCCGATTTCAAACGAGTCTGTACTGTAGACCCTTATTCCCTGTTTTTTTTTTAGACACCTTGTATATTGCTTAGGTTGTAAATAGTATTCAAATATATTGCTTAGATTGTAAATAATATATACTTTATGTATTGTTTAGGTTGTACATACTATGTACACAGAAAGAAAATGGATTCAACCTTTAGCTAAACTATTTCTATATTTAGAATCCCTACAAATGGAAAGGTAATATCATTTATTAAAGATTTATTTAATCATAATCAAGCAATCTTCAGTGTGTATAGTTCCACAATTACGAAATTTTTGTTTTATGTAATTAAATGAAATCCTGAACATATTTTTTCTTTCTCGCAAATCGGTCAAAGAGTTCATGAGTTATGATCGGACATCCAAACAAACATACAGACAAACAAAGATCACTACTTTATATCAACACTAACTCGAAAACCCAGCTGTGACTGGAGCTTTCACTTAGAAAGTCATAATCAATAATCAAATAATCAAAGTCAATTTTTAAACCAGGCTAATGTTCTACAAATCGGTCAAAAGATGCATGACTTAGATCGGACATACAAACACCCTAACAGAAATTACAGCTCAGAATGCAGACTAGAAGAACAGTGCCGTGGATATAGCAACTTATGATCGGATAAACAAACAGACGGACAAACAGAGATTACTACTTTATTGTTCAGGGATATAAGAATCTGGAATAGTAAGAAGTATCTCTCTAACCCTGTGCTAGTTAAAGAAGACAGCTCTTTACTACATCACAGGTAACTTCGTTATAGATTGATCAAAAGAAAAACAAGAAAAAAATACTTTTGGAAGTTTGCCCAGTGCAGAATTTGGACATTTACAAAAGATTAGGTATTGCCAAGAAACTATTAAATTATCTTTAAATCTAATTTTTATTTATTCATTATTCATTGATATTAAACTATTTAATCAAAAATATCAAATCCTTTTTGCACCCGCCAAAATTTATACAGTAGCAAAATAGAAGCAACCTTTATATAAGAAGAATATTGAAAAAAAGAAAAATTATACAGTAATTAACGATTTAAAAACACATGTTGATATGTGTCTCAAAAGATGCGTCTTGAACAGCTGAATACCGTCCATTTGTCCGTTTTTCAATAATTAAAAAATTGTTTTAATTGAAGGCTAAAAATACTATTTTTATGCTCTGTCAAAACCCCGTTTTTTGCTTCTATAACTTTATTAATTTTAAAAATGTTTTTACTCAGTATTTCAAAATAGCCAGTTTGCTACCCATCTTCATCTAATTTGACAACTTTTATTTTCTGACATACATTATCCATTTTTCCACACAAAAATCAAAAATCTGAATGAGTTTGAAATAAAAATGTTTTCAAATCGTTTTTAAACCGTATTAAAGAAAACTTTAGAGCTGGATTTGAGCATTCTTTTTAAAAACGTGCCGAATAGATCTTTAGTAACACTAACACTATTATTGAATATATTTATTTTGATACAGCACAAAAGTTGGAATTTATTGCGTAAAGCTTTTAATAAATTTTGAAAGATTGAACGACAATGTGTAAAATCTTCTTTATTTTCAAATAAAATATCACGTTTTCATTTAACAATAGATTCTTAAGATCAGAATTTTTACTTTAAAAGGAAAATGCGCAAAAATTTCAAATAACTATGTTTAAAAATCCACTAAATAGTCCACTTCTAGGGAAATTCTAAAGATATGGTGCCATCAGTTATGAAAAACCTTGCGTAAACCTTTGATATTTCAAACTTAGATCATTCGATCCAGCAGAGTTGATAGTTTGGAATATCTAAAGTCTACGACATTGGATCGCATAGATATAGGGATTAGAAAATCAGAGTTTGTGGCAAAGAGTCATTGGTTTTATAAATAGGATATCAGATAAAGTGGAATTGTACCAAACACGAAATAAGTGACTTTTTGAGTTTATTCCCAAATATTTTAGGAGATGGTTTTCACAGTTTTACTCTGAAGGAAGTTACCGCCAGAAAAATCCGGGAAACCTGGATTGGTAGTTCAAAATGTACACTGAACACTGTGCTGTACACTTTCTTCCATTGTTCAAATAAGAATATTTATCTTTTTTATATGTGTTGTTTTCCGTTTAAAATTCATTCTGAAATATATCTTTATATTAGTTTAATAATATTGTGAAAAAAAGTTGTGTTTGTTCTTAAAAATTGAATGGAACTAATATGCTGGAATTAAAATTTTTTTGTAAAAATCTTTTGCCTTTAACCATAGACAAAGATAGACACTCAACCAACTCATCTCACGAAACCTCGATTCCAAGATGAAGTGTGGTTCATACAGAACATACTGCAGGGTTTGTTTTAAACTTCGATTTTGGCACATCATATCATCATATTTAGTAGACATTTTGCCGGCGTACACATTAATTCTAAATGACGCGAGAGATAGATAGATATTTCCCCCTAAACTGTAAACAAAAATAAGAAAGTAAACAAAGGAAACACTGGAAAAATAACTTATTTTTAAGAATACGTACACAAACAACCCCAATTATTTTTAAATTGAAAAGTTTTTCCCAAGTTGCCTGTTGTACCCAGTACACTGAACCTAAATCAATATCTACTCTGTACCTACCTTCAACCGATGGAAATGCTAATTTTACCTTTTTTATCTTCAACCAAGGTTATAATGCAAGGAAAGTTAATTGCAGTAGAGTATACTCTGCGTACATATTGAAACCATTTCTCTCTGGGCGGAATTCGTAAACAAGAATAGATGCATCAGTGTTCGTTTAGTATCCGAGAAGGTTAATTTTGATAATTTTGATAATTCACATAAAAGTTTCCTATGACCAGAATATTTCATTGATTTTTGATATGAAAGATGGATCCCATGCCAGGCTTCGACATCCGTCTTGTGTTTACATTACCGCCCAGAGACAGTACACTTCAGTACAAAAGATGCGTACACCTCTGAAATAACTTTCCTTGCATTATAACCTTCCCTTCAACAATAAAAAAATTTTTAAATTGTATTCAACCGCTGTAAACACACATTTTCATAACAAACAAATAAATGTAAAAACGTGAAACCCAGTGGTTGAGGGCAAAAATATTTACATAAACAATATAATTTCAGAGATTGAATTAATTTTTAATTACAGAACGAATAAAGTTGCATTTCTTATTCTGAACTACGTCGTAGAGATCTCTAGGTTTAATAACTCCAGTTATGCTGATTACTGAGATAAAATAAATATTTGAGCTCTTTCATCTGAATCATTTATTTTAGACAGCAGAAAAAAAAAAAATTTAGACGAACCCTAATCAAATTCTATATCAATCAGTAATAGTTATATCTCGGTCCATACAATGCTTCCGTATGAAAATTTCACAAATGGTTCACAATGGTAAACCTTCAATTCAAATTTGAATGGGAGGTCATCTGAAATTACACTTACAGTCCCTTTAAAGTCTCATTTTTATGGGTTTTGCTGATTTCGATCTCATACTTTTCACATTTAAGTTCGGACTTATGCTTTTAATAAATAATCTCTGTGCAAAAACTTTATTCAATCCTCTTAGATGGTTTACAAAGTTTTTTTTTTAATTTAAAGGTGAACCTGTGGGGCACTTTCTTTCTAAAATGCTCAAATCCATCTTGCATCAGTCTTAAAGTTTTTTTGAAACAATTCTTTTAAAATTGAAAATATTTTTAAAATTTTCTAATTTATTCAAATATTTTTGTGTAGATCAAAACAAAAATCGGCCAAAAAATGGAAACGCATAAAATAAAATTTACGCACATTGGCTTTAAAAGGGCTAGTTACGAATGCATTTAATAAATTAAAAAAAATAGAAATGAAAACATCAATTGTGAGGTTTTAATACAACTGAGGTCAAAACTTTTGGTTGCGATAAAGGTTCAACTCGGTATCCACAACTTATGAATTTAAGGGATTACCTTTCTAATCCATGTGAAAATGAATAAAAACTGTTCTCATTATCGTAGGTTTAAAGGAATTGATTTTTTGCAACAAACTAATATTTTCTAACCTCTATAGCTTTGCAACCTAATGGTGTAAACCTTTGATATTTCAAACTTAAGACTATTTGATCTACCAGAATTAATAGTTTGAAATATCAAAGGTCTAGGAAAACGGGTTGCTAAGTTATAGGAATTAGAAAATCTGAGTTTGTGGCAAAAACTCAATTCCTTTACTTCTGATTTTTAAAGCTTTAAAATATCAACATCTCTCATTGGTTGACTCCAAGAGAGATTAAGAAACGATTTAAATCAAATCCCTGAAAGGAGTTCGAAACGAATGAAAACAACATAAAAGCAAATTGAAGTGTCGAATAGTTCGTATTACTTATACAAAAGCAACCCACTGGTTAAATTCGAATCAATTTAATGATGTTTTTTTTTAATATCTGTTAACAATTAGGTAGGATGATGATATACGTATAATGGAAACCTTCATAAAACCTTTCCCAATTATCATAAAATGATGATAAGGATTCCCAATTATTCAGATTCTTTGGAACCAATTTGGTCTCCAAGAAAGGGACTGTTTCTGATTCTTAAAATGTCTAAAGGGAATGTTTGTGATAAGAGAAGTAAAGGAGTAGCTCACTGAGAAGGACGAGTATAAAGATTGTAAATCTATATATATAAAGATTGTAAATCTTTATAAAAATATAGGCATAAACCATTGCGACTGACACTCTAATTTCGAAAAAAAAAATTGCTTACATTCAACAAAAATTATTGAACATAAGCGATTTTTTGTCAACATAAAAAATGTAAAATGATGACAAACGTCCAACTCTTGTTTGCGTGATATACTCTCCCTCTGAGCTTATTATTTTATATATTTCTAGAAATGTTTTGATCCCAATCTTAGGATTATTATTCAGAAAAATATTTATCTTCAAGCTTTTCTTCAGATGAAGTAAAATAGAGAAAAAAAAAGATGGCTACTGGTTTGTTATTACGCGTATTTATCTTTCGTATTTCGCAATTTTTTTTCGCCAAATTTCGCTTTTTTTCGCGAATATGAATTTTGCGAAAAGAAGCGGAAACGATGCGGAATTTCATGCAAAAAATAGACGCAAAATTGTAATAACGTTTTTTTCATGAAATTTCGCATTCATATGTTTTGCGAAAAGTGGGAATTTTTCGCGAAACTCTAATTACACGTGTCTTTTGATAACGAAACAAAACAATCAATAATGCAGTGGTGGATCTATTTAGAGGTGCAATATATTATCAAAGAAGTTAAAATGGGTAAAAAAAAATCTTTAAATTCTGACCATTTACAAATTGGGAAAATAGTTTATGAAAAAAAGGTTGTATAATGTATTGAAAGGGTTTCCCCTGAATATGTAAATTAAGCTATTTAGTGCTCTTTTAGATGCTATTAAAATTAGATTTAGTTGAACGGACTTGGTATAAAATTCTAAACCGGTCTCAATTGAAATTTTTCCGGTTCTAAGTATGTCTGTTTATATTTTAGAAATCCTAGGTCATAGGAGGAGGGGGGGGGGGCTTCCTTATCTATATTTATCAATATTTCCTGTAAATGGTATTAAACGAATGCATTTTGCTGAAACCTCAAAATAATATGATGTTTCATTTGCTGCAAATTGAGATCCAACTTATTTTCTAAATTTAATTTTCTGCTTAACAGAGGGTTCACTTTATCGGTATATATGGTCCCTAAAAATATCAGGGAACATTAGTTTAAAACCGCGATTTGGCCAATTTCAAACAATGAGTGATAGAAATGGGACAAATCTTCAAAGTTATCTTTTTCAAGAATATATAATATATATCTTTCAATCCAAGCCAACTTTTATGTCAACTTTAATATTCCAGTGTGAGAATTAATTTTTTGATGATTCTTGATTTCATTTTCATACATATCCCTATTTTGAAACAATTGTTGCATTTTGGAAAAGATTTTTGAGACATTTACTCAAATTCAAATCAATGTTAATTTTCAATAAAATAGGTTGCACATGTCTAAAACTAAATTGGCTCTGTCTCCCTGCAGGGATGAAATTTAAATAACATTATTTATTTAATAATAATATACGCTCATATAGAAAGTATATTGTTTTGTATTTTCTTTGCCCAAATCCGCGAATTCTTATATTGGAATTTTACATGGCTACCGCAATTTTCTCTTTCATTCCTATAGTACCTATCTGACCTTGAAAAAAACTTGGGCAGAGGGACAAAAACATAATCGATCTTTCTTTCTATACTGATGGTTAGGGGGTTTCCCTTTTTGGACCTACCCCCCCCCCCTCCATCACCCTCTAAACCAGCTCTTAACATTCCACAAGGATAGATTACCGAGCGTCCATTAATCGATTGAATCTTGAACATTAGACGGCCAAAATTCATTATGAACGAGCAGGGTCGTGAATAAGTGTTGCTAATTAAGTCCACATTGAAATTAACCATTTTGACTTAATTGTAAAAAATCAAGAATCACAACTTAAATTTCAATTTGTGGAATTATTTTAAACCCTGGTATTGGCATCAAGTGAGACGGGAGGCACTCCGATCTAAACTTAGAGGGAGTGGCTGGCAACATATGGTACAGTGAAACCCTTAATAACGAATACATCGGAAGAATTTATCAAATGTCGTCTTGACAATTTTTCAATGAGTTTTATACTATATTACGTAAATTTCAGTATTTGCGAAAATAAATAAATAGCCATGAATATGCGGGAACAGTTTTAAAGAGCTCCATATAATCATTCAATTAAAAAACTAAATATCTGCAACATTCCATTATCAGAAAGTGAAGAATACGACATTTGATGAATTCTTTCGATGTATTCGTGAAGGGTTTCACTGTAGTTGAATTGAGATTGAAGTATTATTGAGAAATTTGTTAGGATTCATTTAAGTTATAAAAGACGTTTTTATACGATGCATATTTGTTCAGCAAGAGCGCAAATGCAATCTTCAAAATCCTCATAGATTGTTCATATTTGGGGGATAATTTTAAGAATCGGTTAAAAAAATGATTCAATAACGATGACGAACAATGTAGCAAAAATTCTACAGTAAGCTAATTAGTTGTTCAGGAACAGGTTGAAAAACAAAAAAATATCTCTTATCATCGAAAATAAGTTATCTTAATCAGTT